CTGAACCGTTGCAAACCCCGAGACTGCGACGTTAATCATAGGAATCCTTGAAACTCTTGCAAAGTTTGAACACGAATGTGCGCGGCGCTAAAGCGAGAACCACATGTTGAAAACGAATCGCTCTCCATTCGTGAAAATCTTCCAGCTTTTGAAAACGAATGTGCGCGCTAAAACGAGAGCCACATGTTGAGAAATCGGCCCGCCCTCAATCTGCGAAGCTCCCGCCATTCTCTACACGGATGTGCGCGGCGCTACACCGAGAGAGCCACGTGTTGAGCACGGCCCGCCCTCGATCCGTGACGCTCTTGCGATCGTTCCAGACGACTGTGCGCGACGCTAACGCGAGAGCCACACTTTGAAAAACCACCCGCCCTCATGCTGTGAAACTGTTGTCAACTTTTAAACTAGGGCTCCCAACTTCGCGCTTCGCGCTCCCCGAAGCGCGAAGCGCGAATAACTTCGCGCCCTCGCGCCGCCCCCCCAAAGGGAGAAAAGGAGGACGAGGAGGAGGGGGAGAAGGAACGAGGACCGCGAAGCGCGAAGCGCGAATAACTTCGCGCCCTCGAGGACTGTTGTCAACTTTTAAACCTCAGCGTCATAAATGGTAAAGAAGTCTCGGGCGAAGCGCCGGGCCCGCCCTTTCGCCCGGCCTCGGGGTGCAACAGGGAGGAACCATCTTCGAGGAAAAGGAATCGAGGAGGAGGAGGAGGAGGAGGAGGGCACGAAGCTCGGCGAGAGGAGGAGGAGGAGGAGGAGGAGAAAGAGGAGGAGGAGGAATCGAGGAGGAGGAGGAGGAGGAGGCAGTGGCCTCAAAGCGCGATGCGTTGGCGGAACGGGTGAAGGAAGACGAAAGACGGGTGAACGACTGAACATCCATCGAAGCAAATCACACGACGACAAATGCAAACCCAGAGGACTCCTGGAGACCCGCAGGAGGGGAGGAGAAGCAGGAGGAGGAGGAGGAGGAGGACGGAGGAAAAGGATGAGGAGGAGGACGGAGTAGAAGGGAAGAGCAGGAGGAGGAGGGAGGACGAGGTGGAGGAGGAGGGAGGAGGAGGAGGAGGAGGAGGAGGTGGACGGGGAGAAGGACGGGGAAGAGGAGGAGGAGGAGGAGGAGGACCAGTGTAAACCCAAGGACGGATCAACAATGTTGCAATGAACCCTCCCTCCCAATTCCCCCTTCATAGGTCCCTACAATAATCGATCTTCAAAGCGCGAAGTGGCCTATAAAACACATCCGTCTGAGAAGTGTCAATCGTGCCAACAGCCCACTCCTGGGACCCCAACGCCACGGATCAACGTGGCCGTTGTGGCCTGAGAGTCCTGGACCGTGCCAACAACAAAAAAAATCCTGGGGTTCCAGCATCGCAAATCAGCGTTGTTGCTGCGTCCCAACAGCCCCAAAACTTCTCCAGAGCACCGCTCCCTGAACTTCACCCCTACGAGTCCCTCCAACCGTCGCAGGCTTCTCAGACAACCGTGCGCGGCGCCAGGGCGGAAGCCGCGCGACCCAGCCTCCAGCTTCAGAATGGCTGCAAGTCCTCCTCCTCTTCCTCCTCCTCCTCCTCCTCCTCCTTCTCCTCCTCTTCCTGTTCCTCCTCATCATCCTCCTCCTCCTCCTCCTCCTCGTCCTCCTCCTCATCCTTCTCCATGTGAGCGGCGGTAAGGCGATAGCCACATGTTGAAAAACCCTGGTCCTCCATCCTTGAGACTGCTGCAATTGTTTAAACGAAGTTGCGCAGGACTGCAACGAGAACCACATGTTGAAAACCACCCGCCCTCAACTCGTGAAACCGTTGCAAAGTTCAAGCTTCAGGATCCTAAATGGCGAGGAAGTCTCAAGCGAAAGGCCTGGTCCGCCCTACCAACACGCCTGGGAGCGAAACAGGGAGGAGTTATGTATGAGGAAAAGGGATGGAGGAGGAGGACGAGAAGGACGGAGGAGGAGGAGGAGGAGGAGGAGGGGGAAGGAGGATAAAAGAAAGCCCGCAGGAGAGACGGAGGAAGAGGAGGAGGAGGAGGAGGAGGAGGGGGAGGAGGAGACGGAGGAGGAGGAGGAGGAGGAGGAGGAGGGAAGAGGACGGAGGATCGGATCGGATCGGCCTTCCACGAAAGCAAGGTGCACGACCTTGGGGGGTGCAGGGCTAAATGTAGCTCCACAGCCCAAAGGACGGATGAGGACGGAGGAGGGCGGAGGGCAAGACTGGGGCGCCAAAAGGCAGCAGCGCGTGGCCCGAGAGGCTCCTGGGCGAAGCTGCGCAGCTCCTCGCGGACCACCCGGCGAACACCGTCCAGCTCCAGGCAGGGGGGCGCCGGCATGGCGGGGGGGTTGTTCAGCTCGTCCTTCCCCTTCTGCCCTTCCCCCCTCCTCGAGGGAGGAGGAGGAGGAGGAGAAGGAGGAGGAAACGAGGAGGAAAGGAGAAGGAGGAGGAAGGAGAAGGAGGAGGAAAGGAGGAGGAGGAGGACGAGGAGGAGGAAAAGGAGAAGGAGGAGGAGGTGG